TATATATATATATATATATATATATATATATCCTTTCCGTCCCAACCGGCAGCAACCCAAGATGACAACAAAGGAACAAAGAGAAGAAAAAGGGGTGTAGGAAGAGGCTAACTAAGTGAGTACTGAGGGCTCTGTGTGGCCCATCTAAGAGCATGGGAGGGTTAAAGTTAAAAAAATATTTGTCAAATGATTCAACATAAGACCTGAGTTAATATGCTGGACTCACTTTGGTATCTTTTGAACTTCTTGAACAGGCAGGATCTGACATATTGTTCAAGCTGTCGGAGAGTAGATGGCTTCAATATCTCAAAGTCAATCTCTATCTCATCTATGTCAGAATTGCAACTGCTGGGCTCCAGTGTTTCAATGATTTTCACCACTTGGGCCAGCTTCATGCCAGGGAGACGGTTAATGTCGAGGCTCAGCTGATGTTTTTCCTGATACGTCATTGGCAAGGATTTGTCACCCGAATCCCGATCATTGTCCCGGTTCATTGAATGCCTGAAATAAGGAAGGACAGCTGAAAGCTTCTACATCATGTGTAAAAATAGCAGTAAGTCAGCAATAATACCTATCGGTGAAGGTTGAAGTCCGTTTGGGAAGATCCCTGACATTCTCTATGTCATCGTTCTCATTCCTTGGTTTGGGAATACTAACAGGGTCTTCAAGGTTCACTCCAAGCTCTTTATTAGCAGTCTTTACCTAGACAAAAAAAAAAAAGATCAGAAAGAATTGATGCTGAAGATGTGGAAAACAGGGTAGCAATGGCATGAATTTGGCCCCTAACAGTTTCCAAGTTGGAAATATCTTTTCCAGTAGTGACGCTGAAAAACGAGTCCATGCATTTAGTACCTTAACGCTTGACTATTGTAATTCCTATCACAAAATGCAATTGATAGGCTTTATTTTATCCAAAATGCTGTAATTAGAGCAATAAAGAAAGCCACCGTATGTTGGGTTATGGAATTAAAAAGCAGCTGGAAAGTTGGAATCCCAGCTGATTATTCTCTAAACTACAAGGGACAGAAAATTCTTGTTCCAGCACTGTTCCATCTTCACCCCTGGTGAAGTAGAAGGAGCGTTTTGAAGCAGAATTCAGAGATATTTAGCCTATCCTCAACTCATTGCTGTCCATCAAGCCTTCCTCTTACAACCAATCTGGCCTGTTGGATTGTAGTCAGGGTGTGAGGACTTTCTTTCTAGCCAATAAGAGCCTTTAGTTCGCTACGCCAGCCACATGAAATTACCACAGCAACAACTTCCTCTTCAAGGTCCTGGCTTTCTGTTTATCACAAACTTGTTCCGTTCTCCATGTCAACAACCCAACTGTAATAAACTCTGCTTTTTTCTGCCTTAACTCCGAGTCTAAATTTTAATCATGATAAAAAATAGATTTCTTGACAAATAAACTTATTGATGAACACAGACTTCATAACCTCATACAGTATGATTCAAGATAACTTAAAACAAAGAAGAGCAGCCTGAGAAAAAGAACGATTCTCGCTTTCTCTGTAATTATTTTGATAGCTGTGAATTGTCACGATATAAATCGATTCAATTGAATAACCATAGATGTTCTAAAGAATTTTCTGGCACATTTTGGCAAGTCCACCAAGGAAGACGGATGTTTCTTGTTTTTTTTCCAACAATTCCCCAGGACATAGGGTTGTTTTGTCAGTCTATGTTCTAGATATTTGTAACTATATCCATTCTAATATAAAATAAGCAAAGATGAGCAAATCAGGCTAAGCAGAAAAAAAAGACTGATACAGTCCCCTTTATCGGTACTCACCCTGGCTAACGAACAGTCAAGGCTCCTGGAGATTCATTGCCACATTTGCATCACCCGCTAATATATCGAACATGTAATTCAAATGGAAAATGTCCTCAAGGATTTCAAGTTGACGCAGTGGAAATTTGTTCTCACACATTTCACCAATTAGGAACATCTGAAGACCGTTTAAGTGCACGTGTGAAAGCGGCTTAGGGGCACATTTGCACAGTAAGGCGAGACATTTAACAAATGAGTTTTTAAGTCACAAATAACACCTTCTAGATTTATTGGCACAGCTTGTAAAGATGTGCAAAAATCATTAAAACTAAACATTTTAGGCTGGTGTTAAAATCTCATACTAAAATCAATTTTAATATATTTTAATAAAATCTAAAGCTCAATTTGAGGATTTAGGTTTGAGAGAGGCTTGGAAGTTAAAAGAA